TCCTGGGCACTTCTCTTTGGTCTTGCCAAAGAGAGGAGGAGTGCCTCCAGCCATGACATGAGGCAGACCCGGTAAGGAGCCGCATCCCAGCACCGTGCTGAGCCCCGTGGAGCGGGATTAAACGTGACAGCATTACCAAACCCGGTGCTAGCACCTGTTTAAAAATGACTTAAGTGGAGGGATATTAAAATTTTAAAACCTGCCACTGTGCTGCTGATGGAGGATTTAAAAAATAATAATTACCGGGCTGTTTTTGTCCCTCTTTTTGCTTGGTTTTCAGAATTGGTTTCTTTCTGTTTAGCATGCAGCCTAATTGCGTAATTACACGATAGACTGGAGTAGAATTTAGTGCGTGTAATACCAGTTATAAAGAAGAGCCCTAATTATGTATATCTTCTCAGGTAAATAATACATCAGGGGCACGGAGTGGCCTAATTACTGCTCTGAAAACCTGCCTAATGACTAATTTACTTGGAATTTCAGAAAGCTTTTGATAAGGTCCCTCATAAGCAACGTTAAAGAAAATAAATCGAGAAGGGGTAAAATGTTTTGCTACATTTTTAAGCAAGCAGTTGAGGCGAGGAGGAAACAGCCCCCATAGTCCTGTCGTGTGTCCTGGGAGGAAGGGAAGCTACTGGGACTCCCGGAGCAGAGCCTGAGAGCCCTTAGCAGGAGCCTCGGGAGCTCCCAGAGCCTTGGTGGGGTCCCATGTGAGCACTGAGCTGCTGCAGGAAGGAAAGCAGGAGGCAGCAGCCCGGTAATAGGAGCGCAGAGGGGCAGAGGACGTTTCTCCTAGAGCACCACAGCTGCTGGCTTTTGGGCTCCCCGTTCAGCACAGCTCTGCCTTGTGGGCACTGTATGTATCCCGCGGGGGTCAGCCAGGTGACAGCAGGCTGTCTGCTATGCCACCCTCCGCACAGCCCTCCTCTTTGCTTTTGGGTTTCCTCTGTGTGTTCCCAGCTGCAGGATCCAAAGCAGAAGGAGGGAATGAGCACAACGGGTCCATCCATGCTGGGCAGAGATGGAGCATGGGGATCTTTGTGCCTGGCCAGCGACGTGCTAATTGGCTTTCTTTCCTAGCAAACTTTGCAAATGATGCTCTTTTAGTTGTCAGCAAGATAAACAGTTGCTGCAGCAGGTGTGCCAGAAGCACCGTCTGGATGTAATTAGGCATGCTTGCCAGAGAGCACCCAAGAAATGCAACAGAGCTGCTTGTCCCAGTCATGTCTGGGGGTAGGAACAGGGCTGGCAGTGCTTTCCTGTGAGCTCAGTGACAGTAAGGCCTAGGTGAGAGGTGGATGCTGCTGCTGCTGCATAGCACAAACATACAGAACCCTTCTGTGTATCAAGAGTTTGCATGGCAGAGAGAGGGAACAGCCTCCTGCAGGGCCCAGAGCATCCCCTCCCTGCAGTACAGCAGCATGGCACTTGTGGACCCTGTCCTCTTGTATTGGATCTGTGTCCTGGGTGTGGGCATGCTGCTCTGCACGGCCTGGCTATCGGCACCTGCCTGTGCCCCTGTGCTGCCGAGGGGTTCTTGCAGCTGCTTTTCTGCCCTGGATGCTTGCACAGGGCCTTGGCTCTGTCCCACATACTGAATGCTCAGGTCGTGTTGCACCGTTTCTTTTCTTAATCCCAAATGCCTTCACTGGCTGACAGGCTTTGTGTATCTGTGTGAGGCTGGTAAGCAGCAGCCATCAGCTCGAGCAGTGGGCAAGAGTTGGCTTTCCAAGGCCGCCAGGACAGGGAGCTGAGCCTCGTGGCCATCTCCAGACTGCAGAGTCTTTGGAAGTGCTGCTGGTGAGCTTCTTCTATCAGAGTAAGTCAAATGGCCTTCCCCGTGGAAAGGCTGGCTCCAGCACCTACCTCCTGGAGAAGCCTGATGTGTCCTTCGGCCCCTTCATTCCCTCACAAGCAGTGTCCCAGAGCTCCCCAGGACCAAGTGTTGGGGCAGCCCGAGGCTGGGAGCCATGCAGGCGGCACCATGCTGGGGCTGTCTGTGGTGGCATCGGGCATTGCCATTGCCTGGGTGCAGGATGGGGACAGCTGCCACTGGCTGCAGACACAGTGGGCTCCAGCTGTTGGTGGCTGGCTGTGCCCTGGAGCTGCTGTGCCCCTCTGCAGGTGCCCCCCCAGCCCTGCATGCCCCCCCCATCCCCAGCTGCAGGGTTACCGAGGAGACGGCGCTGATGGTGCTGGTGATAATGGTAATGGGGGAGATAGGTGGCAGATTAATTCCTGAACTCCCTAACAGGATTTAAGCTAACAAGAGAGGAGGGCTTTTTTTCTCCCTTCCTTTCCCTTCCTCCTTTCAGGTATTTCCTGTGCTGGGGATAACAACACCGAGGAGTGTTAAATTGGCTCTGAATGTCCACCCCTGGCTGTCCGCATTCTTGTAACGATTTCATTAGCTTGAATTATCCACGTTATTTTCTTGTAATGGGATTAGCCGAAGTGGAGTCAGCCCGAGTCCTGCAGCGGGGGGCGGGAGGGCCCTCCGTGCGGATCTCATTAACTCCCGCATGGGGTGGGCCAGCAGCTCACCCGGCACAGCCCCTGGCAGGGCCCTGCTTCCAGGGTGGAGGAACAGGAAGGAACATTCTTTTTTCCCTTTTATTCCTTTTCCCCCTGTAATCAGCACATCAGCACAGAAGCAGAGGTGGGCGTGGACATAATTGGGGGAGGGAAGGTCCTGTTTGAGGGTGAAAGGAGGGAGGGAAAAAAAGCAACTTGACAGTGACTGTGTATCGAAGGAATGAGTTTAAGCAGATGTGTACTGCAGGGACGTGGCTGTGTGAGGGGAAAGTTCTCATCTTGCTTGGGCCCTGTGTCCCCTTCCAGAGCCATTGTGGTGAGTGGGACCTCTGCCCAAGCTCTGTCCTGGACCTGTGTCGTGCATCCCCAGCCAACTTCCCATGCCATAATTGGCATTGGGTTTTTTTCCTGCTTTAGGACCATCCCATGCAGTGGGACATCAGTATGTATCTGAGGACATAAGAACAGTTTGTTTTGCACAAGGAGGAAGAAGGTTCCTGCAGAACATCCCCTGAGCCCATCCTCCACGTGTGGCCGTGCCAACGGAGGTTGCACAAACACCTCCAGAAAATGAGCACAGCCCAACATGCAATGTGCTGTCACCAAGTGGGAGTCTGCACCTTCGGTGGTTATCCTACAGCTGGTCACAGCCTCAGCCAGGACGTTGCTCTGTCTGGTGCTCCCACTGGAGAGCTGCAGGTTACCTCCTTGCATATCATCTTCTTCCTTCCTTCTTGTCACCCCATGGGGACAAACCATGTCCCTGTCCCCACTGACAGCACCGCTCCCAGGGGCTTTGCAGATGGCCCAGCCCAAGGAGCCTTGCTCTACAGGAAGTAATCGGGTTCCCCTGCCTCTGCTTCTCTCCCCCATCCTCCCCAAATCTGGAGGAAATAATTGGAAAAGAGAGGTGTGAGTCTCTGCCTGGCACTGGCGAGGAAAACATTAAAGGCCTGGGCTCTCCACTTCATTCACAGCTCCTGGGATGGTAATTGCTGTGTTGTGGTTTCTAATTAGCACCACAGCAGGGGAGTGTTTTGCTTCTCAGCCCACAGGGCCAGCCCTGTTCCCCACTGCCCTGGTGAGCATTGCACTGCTGCTCTGGGTGCTGCTGTCCTGGATCAGCTGCCCCACGGCTGCCCCACTGCTACCCTGATCCCACAGACTTGCTGCTCCAGGTTAGGACTCCACTGTTGGTTTCTTTGCATCTAACTTCTTCCCTCTGCTGTTCTGCATCCCCACGGCTCCCCTGTGCCCCCATAGCTGCCGTGCTGCCATTCACCGTGTGGTTCTCTTGTTCCCTGTGCTGTGCATCAGCTCTCAGCACAGTGCCCAAGGGAGGTGCTTGGTGCTTTCGTGCACAGAGCAATGCTTTAGCACTTCAGCCAACATTCTGTTCCCCCATGCCACACATCTCATTTCCCACAGATAATGCATTGGGGCTCCCATAGTGCATCAGGTGAGGGCTCAGTTCTGACTTCTGGCCAGGAAGTCTTCTTGTTGGCCACCCCTGTGCCCTCTCCCCAGGGTACCAAGCACCCGCAGGGACACAGAGCTCTGTGCCCCATGCACAACCCTGCAGCCGAGGCCATGCGTCCCCTCAGGGGAGTTTGTTTGTTTGTTTGCGTGGCAGTGGCCCGAAAGGGGCATGAGGGAGGGAGAGCTCAGGCAGCCCCGAGGAGGATGCGTGCAGATTCATTTTGAGGCTTCATCATGGTGCATTTACACAGCGCGTTGCCTCAGGAAATTGGGCGGATGGATGCCTGGTCATGCTGCCAGAGCGCAGGGTTAACTCCCAGATTTAGCTTATATCATTTCATGAGAGCATTTATGGCCTTTACTGTGTTTATTCCCAGGTGCTCTCTGGCACTGCTGCATCCCGGGCTCCTTTTGTATGTGCACGCGTGTGTGTAGGTTTTCAAATAAAATAACACATCCAGTCCGACCCGGTCTGCATTAAATATTTATTGGTTGCAGTTTGTGCATGTGTTTGATAAATGGAAGCGAGGGGAGGGGAAGCAGGAGCTTGGACACCGGCAGAACATGGGCGTTATCCTGGATTGTCAGGGGTGGCACGCAGTGAGCTGTGCTGGAGTCATGCTCCTGGGACTGGGGTGGGGGCTGCAGGGTGCTCATACCTCGGATCTGGGTGCAGGCACAGCCCTGCCCGAGGGCCATGCTTCCTGCACATCTTTTCAAAGGAGGGGAGGTACAGAAATTACACCAAGGGAGGTGTTTGCTCTGTGAAGGTGTCGGCAGGACAGATGAATGGCCTTTGGGATCCAGCAGATCTTCCAGCTGTTACGGGGTGCTTTGGGGGTGCTTTCCCTTGCAGGAAGTGGGTGGCCTCAGAGCATGGATTGCTCAGCCTCAGGGCTGCCTGTAGCTGGAAGTGCTGTGGTCTGGGATAAACATGGCCCTCTCATCAGTCTCAATGTCCTCACTTCTCCCCCTCTTGTTCACAGCACCTTCGGGGAGCTGAAGACCGTCCGGCTGCCCAAGAAGATGGCAGGAACGGGCTCACACCGCGGCTTCGGCTTCGTGGATTTCCTCACCAAGCAGGATGCCAAGGTGAGGCTCACTCCCTTCCCAGCCCTTTCCTGGTTCAGGGGGATGCGGGGGCTGCTTGCTGGGGCTTATCCCAGGTCTGACATGCTGTTGGACTCACCACAGAGCTGCGATGGAGCCAAACCCCAAAATTGGGCAGCCCCCAGAGGTTCTTTGTGTCTGCATTTGGGACATTGGCATACTGTCACTCCCTCTGAAGCCAACATACCTACACCCTACAGAGGTGACTTCTGAACAGATCTTCTCTGTGGCTGTGGGGAAGGTCAGGAATGGCTGCTGGCACAGCTATGCCTTGCAGTACCGTGCTTCAGACCTGCAAGCCTCTGCCTGTGGGAGGAATGGCTTCAGAGTAGTGCTAACAGCCACTGGACAGTCAGATGTGCGCTGTTGTTATGGAGCTGACACCCAGGGCTCCTGGGGACAGCTGGCTCTGGGACATGGCATGGGCTTCACCCCCAGAAAACAAATGGTCCCATGTGGTCCTGCTTGAGCTGGCTAACCAGAGGTGGCTCATGGGAAGGAAAAGAAATACCATCACAGTATCACTCTTTTCAAAGTGCTTCCTGGAGTACCTTGCAGGAGAATATCCTGGGATCCTGAGCTGTGCTGGTTGGGACTGAGTTCTGAGCAAGGAGTACCTGCTCAGAGAGCTGTGTGACAGCAGCCATATCCCAGCCCCTGTCTTCCAGCACTCCTGCAAGGAGAGCTGGGGAGGGTTTGCTTCTACCAGCAAAACATGTTTGCGGGAGGCAGGACAGCAGCTGGTGTGCGGGGCAGTGCTTCCAGCCAGCAGGTAGTGCCGCTAGGACTGCAGACTGTGCAGGGCAGCTTTGTTTTGTGGTATGTGTCTGATGCAGTGGGTGCAAGTTGATGTGAAGGTGCAGTTTGGGTGTCCCTGCTGCTGGCGATGTGTGGGATCTGGAGGAGGAGCGGCTGTGGGTATGGGCCAGGGGTCATCACTGTGGTGTTACTGCCTGAAACCAGTCCCAGTTTTCAAGACCATGAGCAGAGGTGATAGAGGGAGGAGCAGAGAGCAGGCATAGCCTATGTTTATATTTTTAGACAGGATCCATTGATCCAAGATCACAAGGGACTATTAGATCATCTGTTTCAGCATGACCTCCCCTATAGCACAGCACATGGGCTTTCTGTGTTAGTCCTCTATTGATCCACATTCAAACCTCCTTTGACTCAGCACCATGCTCTCCTCTGGGCTGCGTACCTCCAGGACAGCTCTGTTTGGTGCACCTCTGCTCATACAGAGCCTCTGCCAGCTGCTCTTTCACGAGCAGCCCGGTGCAGGAGAGAGGTGCCCTGCTCCAGGTGCTCCTGCTGCCAGCATCTAGCAAGGACCAACACTCCCCTGGTCCCACAACACAGGGACAGCCCTGGAGCTTGAGCCCTGAGAAAGATCACTCCAAGGATTCCTCTTCTTTTCCAACAAAGCAGCTTTTCTTCCTTCCTTCCTTCCTTCCTTTTTTTTTTTTTCTTTCCTTTTTTTCAACCTCTTCTCTTTTAGGGATTTAATTGTCTCACAAGTGGCACATCAAGTACACTCCATTGGCCGTCTGGAAAAGGATGTGCTATGTATTGATGAATAGGATCCTGAATATTGTAAACACAGCCGTAATTGGCTGAGAGTTTATTGCTAAGTGAAATGAGAGAGGAGGGGAGTGGGCCTGGAGACCTCTGATCTGAATGGCTGCAGACGATCAATGACTTTTTTTTTCCCTAAGAGTGGTAATTTGGAAATCGCTTATAAGCATCTTATAAAACATGATGCTTTTATAATAGAACAGTTACGGTGGCTTTGTTGGGCATTTAAAACCTGTGACCTCCCCGTTTGTCTTTCTCTGAGCCGTGACAGAGCACCTGCAGTGGTTCTTCAAAGCTGGGACAGAGGTGTGGGCTCCCACTGCAGTCCTGGGGCTGAGCCCGTGAAGTTTGCTTCCTGCAGCTGTCCCTGGAGCTGTGGGGTGGTCCTGGTGTGCACCAGGTGGGCACCTTGCATGCAGTGTCAACTCTGGGTACGGAAGTGTTAACCACGGGATACGTTTCCTGAAGTTCCCCATGCAGAATTGTTGTGGGATTGTTTTTATTTTTAAACTATTAACTGGGAGCCAAGTTTCCACTTTTCTCCCTCGTCAATATAAAAATACATCTGGTCTCCAAATAGAAATTGCCCTTTTGGGAAAGACAGCCAGCCCTTTAGAAATGTGCACACATGGAAGGAAAAATCCTGTGTGCAGCTGGCGGTGCTGCAAGCATCCTTGGGTGGGACTGTTTCTTGTGAGGAAGGGAAATGTATCAGTCTCCTAATGGTGGTGACCCTGTGTCCCTCCAATTCTGCCAGCCTGAGGCTCTTCAGCTTGAATGTTTTACAGAGCGAGGCAGGGGGCTGCAGGCAGAGCAGCCCTGTCCTCAAATTAACAGAGCACACAGGAATGGTCACAGCACCCCAGCCCAGCTGTCCAATGCAGCACGGTGCTCAGCCCACAGCAGGTGCAGCCCCCAGGAGCATCTCGTGCCCACAGCCCGTCTGCTCGTCCTCCCTTTGCACTTTTCCTGTTCAAATGTGTCTTTCTCCTCCCTGTTTTTTTTTTGTTTTGTTTTTTTTTTTTCATGCAATAGAAGCAGTGGCACATTTCCCCTTCTTGCAGGAAGATGTTGGGCCTTTGGATGCATGGGGGAAGCTTTACTCCCCTTCACCCCTTTGTCTCTTAAATCACCAGCGTATCCTCTCTCTTCCCTGAGGTAGTATGGATCCCACTCAAAGCAGCAAATTCAACTTGTTTATTTTCAGTGGTTCCCAAAGGAAATGATGTTGGGTGTTTTCCACCTGAAGCGCACAGCTCCTCCTCTGCATCCCCAGCCTGGGGAACCCTGCAGCACTGGGTGCTTTGCTTCTCTGATGTGCAGGAGCACTGGGGCTGGGCAGGAGCTGTGCACCTCCCATGTCCCACAAGCAGGTTCCTCCATCACACAGCATCCCTCTGCATCATGGGTCCAGGGGATGCTGTATATACCTATGCCCTGTCCTACAGCCTCCTCTGCCTGGTGCTGCAGCTTGTGAGCAATCCAGAAGTCAAAATGAACAAATGAGAGCCAATGGTGAGCACTGCCGCTGTTTGCCAGGCGATGGCAATGGCTCTTTGTGCCAATGCAAACAGCCATCACAGCTCCCCACTGCTGCTCCCCCTGAGTGTTTGTTTAAGCCAACACATTGCTCTGCTAATTGGATCCCATTCTGAGTGGAAATGGGCCTTTAAAACAACAGCAGTGGCAAATAAAGGCAGCTGTAGCTGCAGAAGGCTGCAGCCTCTCATAGGGAAGCACAGCCCCCCAGAAATGAGGCCTGTGTGGGTCTGGGGGAGTGGCAGGGTGGAGAGATGGAGAGCACTGATATGGCAGCAGGGTGCAGGGAATGGGAGATGTGTTCCTCTCTTCTGGATTGAATGGGAGTTGTGGGAGTGATGGAGAGTCAGAACCACTGAATTGTTAAGGTTGGAAAAGACTTCTAAGATCACAAGTCCAACCCCAATGCATCCCCACCACGCCCACTGTCCATGTCCCTCAGTGCCACATCTCTGCGGGGCTTGAACAGAGGGGCGTGTTTCTGTCTGCTGTGCCTCGAGTGAGCTTACAGACTTCATGAATTTACTTAATCCTAATCCTGGCTGAGGGTTTTTAAAGAGCATGCTGGATTCTTTGCTTTGCCCCATGCCTAGCCATATATTGCACAGCTGTGCTGGCCAGCTTGCTTGCATTCAGTGTCAGCAAGATATAGCTGCTGTATGGCTGATTGTGAAGACAAAGGGAAGTCAGGGAGAAAGCAGGGGGAAGGCAAGGGGAAGGCAGACTTCCTGGCACAGGCTGAGACTCGTCCTGCTGATGGACTCAGAGCAGCCTCTGCTGATGTTGGGTTGTGCTTTGCTGTGCCAGCATGGAATGGGAGGGTTCCCAGGTGCACCAGGCAGTTAGTTGCATCTTTCTTTCCCTTCTCAAGGGCACGTGCTGCCACAGTGCCAACAGGCACCAGGTGTGACCTGAACCCCCTGCACTGCCCCCCACCTCACCGGACAGCAGCACTGCTGGCCCCAGGGCTGTCCCAGGGCTAGAGGGTGGTGATTGCTCTTTGCAGATGTGTGGAAGATAAATGATCAGGCCAGAGGTGCTGATGGAGACGATTCTGCCCTGTCAGAGCAGAGTGCCCAGAGCAGGGTGCACTCCCTTTCAGATTCAGGGTGGAGGGAGGGAGGGACATCTTTGTTTTCCTTTACTTCTTATTTTCTGCTTTTTTTTTTTTTGACTTTGATCTTCAGAAAGCATTCAATGCCCTGTGCCACAGCACGCACTTGTACGGCCGCAGGCTGGTCCTGGAGTGGGCAGACACAGAGGAGACGGTGGAGGCCCTGAGGCGGAGGACAGCTGACCACTTCCACGGTAAAGCATCCTCCTGGCTGCTGGCACACCCAGCTGGCACCGATTCACTGGCACACAGCCATGCTGCGCCGGCCCTTCCCCACCCAGGAGAGGTGGACACACTGCTGGGAAACTGCTGCGCTCAGGGAGCCCAGCATGCAGCTCTGTGCAGGTCGAGCAGAGGGGTGCAGGTTGGCTGCTTCATCTGACATGGCCAGGCATATGTGCCATTTACCCACTGCACTGGCAGCACTGGGGCTGTCTGTGCCAGCTGCAGGCTCTGCTGTGCCGGCACCCTGCAGTGCTGTGGAGATGGGAACAGCAGGGGATGAGCAGCCCTGTTGGCACTGTGCCACACAGATAACCTCCAAGCAGAGGAGTGTGGGCAGGGATGGGCACTGGGAGGGTGATGGGGTCATAGAGAAGCTTGGTTACAAAGAACAAATAATGTGACCATCGGGTGGGATCCAGAGAGTGCTGTTTGGATCAGGTGCCCGAGAGTGACAGCTCGGTAGATAGCAGCACTGCAGGCTGCTATTGACAGCCATTGACAGCGCAAACACTTGGCTTGGCAAATATTTATGTAGGAAGGGCTCCCCTGGGCTGGAGGACTGAGCTGGAGATCGATGCTCTCCTCCCGAATCCCCTGCAGCATCCCTTACCTCTGCCACACACCTGCCTGTCACCGGGGGTGGCACAGCACCGTGGGGATGGGCAAAGCACTGTTCCCAGTGGTGAGTGGGAGCTAGATGTGTGGTGGGGTGGGACATGGGCTGAGCACCAGCCTGGGCGCTGAGAAGACCTAAAGGAGCCCAGTGGTGTTTGCCATGTATAACAGCTGCAGGCATGCATGGGGAGCAGGGAGGACAGGCACTGCCTAGAGGTGGATGCACCCTCTGGAATGTAGCTCCCAGTAGCAGTGTGGAGCCAGGCTCCAGGCAGCACAGCTCATAGCAGAGCCCATGGCCAGGCTATGGGCAGCACTGCTCCATGGCACAGCCCGTGGCCAGGCTCCAAGTGGCGCAGCTCATGGCACAGCTCAGGCCAGGCTCTGTGCAGCACAGCTCTATGGCATAGTTAAGAGCTGCTTGCCCCTCAGCGGTTCTGGGGCAGTGTCAGTTTGGTCTTAGCACAGAAGTGCTTCCTGATGCCCAGAGCTGAGCTGCAGGAGGTGAAGCATTTCCCATTCCAGCTCCACCTCCCCTGTGCTGCAGTCATGCACCTTACTTCTGGACACTGCTTACACAAATTTGACCCCTCAGGTCTTGTTTGTTAGGTTGGAGAGCTGTGGACCCCAAGTCTCGTCTCTTGTCATAGCAGACAGGTCATATCTGAGTCATCATTTGCAAAGATCCAGCAGACACAGCAGGATGGAGCAGGGCCCCTTCCCTCACTGCACAGCACCTGGTGCTCTGCAGTCCCACCCAGAACTGTTTGTGTGCATTCATGAGCATCCCCCTGTTCACGTACTGTCAGTGTGCAAACCTACACAGCCATCCATCTATCCATCCATCCATCCGTCCGTCCATCCATCCGTCCACCTCCTTTGGTTTGTATCCCTTTCCCTCCATGCCCACCGCAGGCAATGCGGCCGCACCACGTCCCGCTCCCATCCTCCCCATTGCCATCGACCTGTGTTGGGAGCACCGTGCCAGCGGGCCGCCGGCCTCCTGCCAGCGCTAACGCGGGCGCCAGCTGCGCCGGGCGCTCCTCCTGCTCCTCGCCATCGATCAGAGAATTAACTGACAGATGGGAAATGCTGCACCGAGCACAGGAAGGGGAAGGGCTGGCTCCTACTGGGGGGCGAAGCAGTGGGAGCCGTGGGGCTGGGTCCGGCCCTTGTTTGAGTAGGAGAGGGCAGAGAAAGGAGGGCAGGGGCTAAGCCCCCTCTTGCTTCCCTGCTCAAGCTGCAGCCCCTGAGCTGCTACTTCCCCATCGGTTGTGGCTCGCTTTGTATTGTCTTTCTTCCTCTTTTCTTCTTTCTTTCTTTCTTTTTTTTATTTATTTTTTCTTTTTTTTCTGAGAGCGCATCTGTAACTAATGCAAACACATGCCATAGCCAGAGAGTAAACCCCGCAGGATTAGCATGGCATCCGCAGCCCCGCCACGGTGTAATCCCGCCGTAATCCCTGCCGGCCCGCCCCCGGCTTTGGCTATTGTTTAAAGGGAGTAAATGGGATCGTTAGTGGCAAACCCTAACCAGCCTGGAGCAGCAGAACGGACCTACGACCGATCCACTTCCACCCTCCTCCTTTTATATTATTTCATTTCTTTATCCTCTTTTGCCTCCCTGTTAGGTGGCCGTGGGCTGCCTGGTGGCACATGGCATGGCATGGGTGTCCATGCACATGGTGTGGGTGCTTGTGCATGGGGTGTAGGTGATTGCACAGGGCAGTGCACAAGTTGCCTCTGAGGGGCTGCAGGGTTAGGATGTCCCTATGCCCCAGGTTTGTTTGCAGTGGATGTGAGGATGTGGGACCACGCTTGGTGCTGTCTCACCTCAGCTCAGGGCAGCAGGCAGCAGGAGCTGGGTTAGAGCCTTCATCTGGCCTCGGCCATCCTTTTTTGTGTCTGTAAGTGCCCTGATGGGGCAGAGCTGTGCATGGGGCCTGGGGTGGCTGCCGCACAACCCCCAGGAGCAGGCGGGCCCTGGCACTCTGACAAGGAATTAATTGAAAAATAAAATCGTTAGGTGGGAACTCCAGAAATGCAAAACTGTTCCAAGCTGGGGGAGGCAGAAGAGGGGGATGTGAGCTTTTGTCAGGTTAATTTCTTCTGTATTGATGTTTTGTGACATTTACTTGTTGTTTATCTCCCGCAGCAGCTGTAATACTAAAAGAAAACGCACAGCTTGTTCCATTTATTTATTTTACACCTTTTCTTCAGTCCTATGGTATGTTTGTTTGTTTGAGAAACCCGGCGAGGCTTTTGATGTCTGAGGCAGGATTCAAACAGCTGTTCTCCATGTGCTCTGCAGCCGCTGGCAGGAAGTGGGGGGGGGCAGCTTTCTGCGGAGGGCACTCTGTGCCTGGTGGGGGGGACGTGGCACTGCCGTGCACCCGGCATGGGGCAGGCAGATCCAGCACTGCAGGCCTGTAGCATCATCTGAACTCCACTAGGACTGGGGTCTGGCCCCAAGGGACCAGCCTGGTGTCCGGACAGCTCCTGCGGCCACTCTTGGACTTGGGATGGGTGAACTGCATTTAAGGGCTGGCGTTGCCACGTGTTGGCTGGAGATGAGCACATGGCTTCCAGCAGAGCCTTGGAGTAAAGATGCTGTGGGTGTGGAGACAGCTCCTCAGTGGTGCCCATGGGATTGGTGGGTAGGACTGGGCTGCATGTGGTGCACGTACCCCTTTGTGACCCTTGTCTTCATTTTTCTCCTACCTGTGCCTCTACAGATTCCCCAAAGAGGAAGAAGCGATCAGAGGTGTTGGGTGAAATCCTGGAGCAGCTAGAGGAGGAGGGGGGCAACAAGGATGAGGCCCTCTAGCCAGTCTCCAGCATGGTGAGGTAGGTATGGCAGTGCTGGCCCTGCAGGATGTGCTGCTGCTGTGAGGAGGGACAGCTCCTGGGGGCAGGGACGTGGGTGGCTCAGAGCCATGCTCGGTGTGTGCTTCCTTTCCCCCACAGGGACAGGAACAATTCCAGCAGGGTTACATGGCTGCAGGAACAATCCCAGCAGGGTTATACTGCTGCCCACGTCACGCAGTTGCAGTGTGTACATGGCCTCGAGATAGCGTTTGTTCCCCTGGAGCTGCTCAGCTGAAGGACACATCCAGTGGCCAGCAGCTCTACAGCATGCAGCTGGAGAAGGGATGGAGCAGCAGTGTCCAGAGCCAGGCAGACCCAGCTGTTTGGACACAGCCTGCCCCAGCAGGCTGTACCACTGCCCACAGACAGTGTCTGCAAACCTCCCCAGCTCTGCTCTGCTACTGGAGCCAGTGCTCCCAGCTCTGCTGCTGCTTCCTGGAGCCACACGCTGCACCTCTCTGCCCCTAGGAGTGAGCACTGCAGGCACTGGGACTGACCCCCAGACTCACTCACAGGCTGTGGGGTACTAATGCCTGCCCTTTGCAGCAACCCCAGCACAATGCCCAGGCCTCAGCCTTGCCCTGGGACAGGTATTTGTGCCCATAGTACAGGTGGAAAAACAGAGGCACGTGATGAAGCAGCACTATCAAAGCAGCTGTCAGTTGAATGGGGATGGTCACTGTCATTGAACACTGTCTGAACACTGTCACTGAACTCAACTAGGGATGAGTTCAGTGCAGAGTGCTGGAATCTCTGGGGTTTTTTTGTTGTTTAGACTTTTTTTGCCTGGCATTGATGAGTGACAATCCTGGCAGGGCTGGGAGGGTGACAGCAGGGGAGCAGCGTGGGCAGCAGAGCCCCGTGTGTCAGGGGGCTGCCATCAGCTCAGCCTGGGGGAAAGAGACATCTCTGGGGAAGTGACAGTGAAAGATGGGGAGGGATGGGAGGCACGTGGCACTGCAAGAAAAGATGAAAACCATCCCAAGATCCATGGGAAGAGTGCTGCAGGGTAATAATGTATATACAAATCGCTAGGTAAAACACAAGGGTCGGACAAGGATGCTCAGCAAGAGGGAGGCACCGGCAGCACAGTGCAGCCAGGACTGAGCTGGGCCCTGCCCACACACTGCCCCCAGCACTCAGTTTCAGCAGAGCCTCGCAGGGCTACAAGTTTGGGTTGGATTTTCCCGTGTTGGTTTTCTTTTCTTTTTTTTATATTTTTTGTCTTTTTCCCTCCCTTCATTGTCTTTTGTGGCAGGGCAGGGTTCTTGCTGCGCATTTCTGAGGTCTGCAGCGGCGGCGAAAAGGATTAGCGCAAGCTGAGCATGTAGGCTTTAGAGAACAGAGCAGAGTTTGGTTTCAACATCTAATTCAATTTGTTCTGCCGAGATTGAAATATGAAATGGTTGCCAGTCAAATGTTCAAAGGGGGGAGGAGGGATGATAGGAGAGAGGGAGCCTTCCAAATTTAAATTTTAATGAAAATTAATTTAACCCTTTGATATGTTTTAAAACATGTTATTTCCCTGTCTGGATATGGGCTGGAAAACATTCACAAGGGTTTTTTTCCATACCTTCAAACATAATGAAGGTTTTCTTTTTCCCTTAATGATACTTATCTCGTTGAGCAGTTCGACACTGGTTAATTTTTCAGGCAATTTGGTATCGGGGAAATCTGTTTGATGTGTGCGGGTGGGGGGGCTGTGTATGTACACAGCTCTGTGCCCATACATTAATTATGGAAGTGCTGATCGCAGCTCTGGAGAACAGTTGGAGTTAATTCCCGCTCTGCAGGCAAGGACCCGACTTCTTTGTTGCATGCGGAGGATCCCACACAACGCACCCTAAGATGACAGCAGGTGTAACAGCAGCGTTCTGAGCTGTGGGGCGGCTCTTGGGTGCTGGCTGCAGCTGTGCTGGGGTAGGGGCATGAACTTCTCACCTCTGCATGTACTGCTCGCCCCGCTGCTGCTGGGCACAGCCAGCAGCCCCTGTGCCCCGGAGCACTGCGTGACACGGACGCGCTGCCTCCTGCTTCCCGAAATGTATGCATCTGAGAGGGGGAGAAATCGCATGGCAGGGCTTGAGATTTCAGACTTATCCATTCATGAATAATAATCAGGCTCAGTAATTCACAGTAAATGGGTATCCAAATTGGCTAATAAGGGAGGCTTTCACCCCAAACTGGAGCTGGGAAGAGAGGCAGAGAGAATATCAACAAATGTTGGCTGAGGCATATGTGCACGATGTGACCTGAATTGGAGAAATATGCAAAGCGATGGGAGCGGGAGCACGGCTCTGCCAGGGGTCCGTGGGGCAGAGGGACAGCAGCAGCACCCTGCACCCTGCCTGGGGCTGGCGCTTTCCCATCACACATTCCAGCAGAGCCTTGCAGGGCTGTGGGTTGAGGTTGGATGTCAGGCCCGTGGGACAGGTCGGTGCCTGTGACTGCTGCCGCTCACTGCACAATGAGGCTGTCCTGAGGGCTGCAGGACCTGGCAGCAGGCATAGAAGCTTTGCCTTGCGCCTGGCACGGAGCCTGCAGGTGTGCAAGAAGCAGCTCGCGAGCATCCGGGTGCGTGCGGGATGCAAGAGGAGGAAAGGGGGAAAACCTGCATGGGGCTTTATGGGGTGGAAGGTGCTGAAAATGAAGGAAGCCACAAAAAAAAAAAAAAAAAAAAAAAAGGAGAGTGGAGAAATTGGTGCATGAGGATGAACTCAGGATGGATGCTTGGGGCAGCGAGCCAGGGCCAGCTGGGTGCTGGGACACAGGAGCCAGCATGCCCTTCCCAAATCCTGCTTTCAGGCACTGGCAGCACTGTGCCCAGCCCTGCAGGCGGGAAACAGAGCTGTGGCTTCGTTAGGATGCAGCCCTCAGATCTCCACTCTCCCTCTGACGGCTGAGTGTGATTGACACTTACAAATTACCCAGCCAAAAGTGTCGAGTCTTTGACCCCTGAGTAACATCTTTGGCAAGCCTGAGATTTGCCAGCATTTTGTCATCTAATTACTACAAATCCCTTGAAAATTCTCTGGCTGGTGAATTTTTAATGCAGGACAATCTCAATGTGATGCATCGCCCAGATGGGCACACACACACACGCTCCTGCCATTCCCCCTCACCCACCCACTCTCATCTTTTCCCTTCCCTCTCCATCACCCCCCTGCCCCAGCACTGCAGGACCCAGGGCTGCACCTCAGCTCCTCCAGCCCCACCACCTCCTGCAAGCTGTGTGGCAATGACTGGTGGCTGCTTCATGGCATTGCCTTTATTCTTTTTTCCTAGGGCTGATGGATGGAGAACTGATGGATTCTCAGTGAACACTCACCTGTTGTGTACCCACAGTCCATCCCCAGAGTGCAGAGCTGTGCTGCTGCCCCAGGACCCTCCTCCATCCACAGCACCAGGGCAGGAGCCAGCACTGAGGTGGGAGTCCTGGCCAGCCCCAATCAGTCTGGCAGATTTGCTCTTCATGTCTGAAGTAAATGATCATTTGTATACATTAAAAGCCATGCATATATTTTTAATAAGAGCTTTACGAAATCTCAAGGTTTGCTTGGATGTATTTCTGAATTCGTGGGGTTATTCTGTCCTGATGGGTGGATAAGGGTGATAAGGGAGCGGGGCGGGGGCCGTGGTGCTTTCGGCTCTGCCTGTGTCACTTCTGTCCCCTCTCTCTCTCGCAGGCAGCTGCCTCCCACCTCTGCCTGGCTTTCAAAGGGAAAGAGGCTTTGCTTTGCAGCCAGGCTACCACGTTACATATGTACGCAGCTGATAAAGTATTTTCACTTCACCCCTTTCCCCTCTGGGAATCGCTGTCTTACGGCAAAACTGTTTTGTCTGACAAGGGCTGAACAGATTACACGTGTTGGCTGCAAACACGGGGCCTTTTTTTTTTTTTTTTTTTTTTTTTTTTGAGAACCATATACCTTAAAAAAAAATGATCCTTGAAGCACCTCAGTGCCTGGGGTGCCATCACACTGCCTGTGCATCTCTTCAGGTCTATGTCCACTGTGTGTCTCGCGTGGTCCCATCAGAGCCCCAAGCCACTGAAGTGCCCTCAATGCCATTCAGCGCCTGCATCAGCCTGGCCAGGAGTTCTGGCTGCAGTTTAGGGTAGGATGTCCCAGCACCCCTCACCTCCACTGACAGCAGTGAGATGGTGCCCTCATGAGGAAAGCATAAATGTTTCTTAGGAATTACGTAGGAACAATCGTGTTGAACGTCAGAATTACCCCACTCCATTGCAGCAGTGCAACCCATTGGGTCCCACATAGCTGTGTGCGTTGCCTGCGGTCCCTGGTCCAGGGACCCCTGAATGAAGCCCAAACAGCTCTGCTCTGTGATCGCGCTCACTCTTTTTTTTCCCCATTTCACAGTACTAATGTGAGATCCCATTGAAGCAACAGGTCAAGGCCCTGGGAATGCTTTGCTTCCCCCAAGTCATTTCTGGAGATAATTAACTGTGTGATCCCCCGGCTGGAACCCACTGTGGCTGTGCAGAGTGCAGGGAGCCCAGGTTGTGCAGGAGTCTGAGGGCTGAAGCCTCTGGGCTGAATAGGCACTGGGCTCCTGCTCCTTGCCTCAGTCTCCCCTGCTCTTTGCCTCATTTTCCCCTCCCAGACTGCTTGCAGGGGACTCTCCATACACAAACACACGTGGCTGCAGCCCCCTACAGAGAAGAGTGCTCATGGAAAATATTGAACCTGAGGGGTTGCAGTGGTAATGCCTAAAAAAGAAGCAAGGGGAAAAGTGACGACCGTGTGCTCCCCCTGGGGAGTGTTCTGCTGAAATTCAGATCTTAAAAATTCAGATGAGAGGAAATGGGATTGAAACAGCGCAGCACCTTTGAGATGATTGAGGGCTTGGATAGAAGCAGTGGCTAAGGAGGGCCTGGGCCCCTGTCGGCCCCTCCTGATCACTGCCCAACATGCCCTTGTGCCCTGCTGGTCCTGCCCTGTCCACCATGGGGTAGCCATGATGGGGCCGAGCAGCTCTTCTCTCCATCCACACACCAAAAGGGAAAGGGAGGGAGAGAAAAAACGGGAGGGTAAGGAAATGTCAAATCAATCATATTTAAACAAAAGCCTCTTCGGCCCAAGGGCCCTTTTAAAAGCTGCTTATTTAATTAAAAGTCCCATTTTCCATATTTATGGCTCTTATTCAGTTAAATATTAACCGCCTGGGCCAGGGCTGGTTAATTCTTTGGGAAGAGGCAGCATTGGAGTTCATTAGGAGTTTGTCAGGTGGCCGGCACACTCGGCAGATGGAGAGTGGATGGGTGAATGGGGGGACAAACAGACGGATGGATGGATGGATGGGTGTATGAATAGATGGATGGATGAGTGGGTGGATGGGTGGATGGGTGGATGGATGGATGGATGGAGGGAGGGAAGAAAGGAGGGAGGGAGGGAGGTAGCGGTGGGTGGATGGATGGAAGGATGAATGGATGGATGGATGGATGGATGGATGGATGGATGGATGGATGGAGGGAAGAAGGGAGGGAGGTAGGGAGGTAGCGGTGGGTGGATGGGTGGATGGGTGGATGGGTGGATGGGTGGATGAACAGATGAATGAAGGAAGGGACCAATGGAAGGATGAATGGATGGAAGGATAGATGGGTGGATGGACTGACAGACAAATGGGTAGACAGATAGGTGGATGGATGGATGGATGAAAGAATGAAAGGATGAATGGATGGGTTGATGCAGGACAGCTCACGAGTACAGAAGAACAGAACCATCACCAGCCCAACTCACCGGGGCCATCCCTTGTCACCTTCCCAGCTGCCATTCTTAAAATGGGATACAAGGAAATGGGGGGGGAAATGGAAATTTTGGCTGTTTGGCCAAATCCTCTTGAGCTGAGCAGGAGGGCAGAGGAGGTTTGGATGTGTGTGGATGGGGTGGAGGTGGAAGACATTGGGGTGCAGGGACCCCAGGGAGCAGAGCAGGGGAGATGGCCGTATCATTGGCTCTTCAACCAAGGTGACAGCACAGCCACATTCCCACACTGAGCCTGTCCCAGGGGATCTGATGGGATAGAGGCCACCGTCCTTCTTCCTGGAAAGGTTCAAGAGGGTTTTTAAAAGGTCATAATGGAGAAACGAAGAGATCAGTGATTGGCCTTGGAGAGATGCAAGTCTCTCGGGAGCTCAGTGCAGGTGTGGATGAAACTCACTGTGTGCCAGCATGAGAAAGGGCTGAATGCAAGGAGCTGGCAGTTCCTCCAAGCAGAGTGGCAGCACAGGGAATCCGAAGCTTCTGTAGGATCCTCTTGAGGAGAGGTGACGTGGCTCCTGGGCTCACCTAGGTGCACCAACGAGCAACAGGTCTCGGCTGTGACAGAAGCACTTGCTGCATGCCCAGCTCTTGCTGCATGAAATACCCATGTCCTTTCTAGTGAGCATTCTCCCTGCTTTGGGTGGCTGTTTTGGCCACTCTCAGATGAGTGCTTGGCTCATCTTGGTTGTGACCTTAACGAGTGCTTGGCTCATCTTGGTTGTGACCTTAATGAGAGCTGTCTGCTGCTTTGCTGATGCCCAGCTGCTTTAACCTGTGTCCCTGTGGCACTGTGGAGAAGGCCAAGGGCTCCTCCTAGACTCTCTAGTGTGTAGATAGTAATTAAACACCTCTCGTATGTCATTTTAGAAGACAATTACAAAGTCAGAGGGATGAGCTGGGCTCCATAATCTGGCTGGAAGCTGGTGGGAGAACATGGCACAGCATGGCTAACCTGTGGGGCATGCAGCAGGTGACTGCAGTGGAGCAGAGCCTTGGGAAGGCTGCTGGGAGCAGGGCCCACTTGGGCAGTCACAGTACCTTGGCACAACCCCTTGGTGTTCAGCACATCCCCCTGTTGCTCTCTGCCTCTCTTTAGGGAACACGGCGCGTCCCCATGCAGCCCTCAGTACCACCGTGCCGATGTGGTGATGCAGCAGGGTGGCTATGGGAGCATCTCCCCTTCCGACAGAGACGCAGTTCTTGCGGGGTGGGCAGGGGGAGGAGGTGTTCTCCGGGGACGGCGGGCGAGGAGGGGGAAGGCTGGCGGGAGCTGCGGGGACGGCGGCGGGAGAGGGAGAGCCACCAGGTTATCAGAGAAGTGTGAAGACAATAATGCAATCTGACATTTCTGAAATGAGACCCCCTGGTTGCCCTGGCAACGGCTCACGTGGGAGCAGTTCCCGGGAGACGGCTCCGAGATGTACCATAAATGATGTTTGATTAGAATTTAAATCATTTAGGCGGAGAGAAGATAGGCCTTTTGTCAGCGAGGGACCCGCGGGGGTCATGTTGCCTCCCACCCCCCCGCCACGAGGCTGGGTGAGCACGGCATGTGTGTGCTGCAGGAAGGAGGAGGAGGAGGAGGAGGAAGAGGAGAAAGATGCCTTCGTGCCCTGGGAACGGGGCTGACACGGGGGCTTGGCTGCTATTTGCAGCAGTGCTGACCCTGATAGGTGATGGGTTAAGCCCAACACGAGTCTGCTTCCTGCACCTCTGGCTGGGGGAGCAGTGCCAAAGGAAAAGCTGAAGCTCTGCACGGAGTTTCTTCCTGCAAAATTAGTCAGTGGCTCCTTCATGACATGGTTTGGGTCCAGGGAGCCTGCAGGGCTTGCTTCTCAACTTCCGGAAAATGCCATCTGATCATGAAATTAGAGCTAAACTAATAAGTCTCCACAAATATTAATCTAATGAATTTAGCTTCTTTCTGTTTGTGGACTAGCAGTGAGGGAATTGCAATGTTCTCACATGTAGTAATTGTTTGAATATATTCAAAAAACCTTTATTGACTGCTTCAACCATATGGCTTTGGTCATGAATATTCCAGCTCCAAGTTTTCTTTCCTGCTTGTTATCACTCTGTAAACTGAATGACAGACACCCTTCAATGTGTGCTAAGAATTAACCAAGGGAAGTGCTGAGTCCTGAATGTAAACCACAAGTTCTGATGGTGGCTTTGCATCTCTGGAAAACCTCTGCTCTCCTTTGGTATGCATACAGACCAGAGTCCTTATAAGAACATGGGGATGGACCAGGACCAGGGAGAACCTGGACAGAAGGAGTCTCTTTGCCCTGTAACCAAGTGCAAATTCTGCAGATGAAGTGAGGTTTGGAAGGTGGACATCGTGCAAGGTGTGAGTTTGTTCTGCTCATAGTGCTCACAGAACATCTCTGAGTGGGCTGTGGATGCTGTGGATGTGGTGGATGCAGGGGATGCCATGGAGGCAGGGGATGCTGTTGTCAGCTCCAGGGACTCAGCTGCGGTGCTGATGGTGACATGCTGTTAATTGGCACGTGCTGCAAGTGCACACCCTGTACAGGCCCAGGCTTGCCATCAGCAGGCACTGCCCAGGCAAAGTGCCCCTGGCTCCCTGCATACCGCATCGGGGTGCTGGTTGCTGAGGCTGCCAGCAGCAGAGAGCTCTGCGTTTGGTGGGGCTGCACTGTGCCAGTTTGAGCACGCCGGAGGAAGGGGCTTGGGAATGTGTTGCTTTTTAAATTAGCACTGCATTGATTTGGTTTGGGAAGCAGGTGCTCCACTGCACGCCAGCACTGAGACGTGCAGGATGGAGGCACAGGTCTGGAGCCCGGTTCCAATGTTCTGTGATGGGGGGGAAGGATGCTCAGGCTCTGCAGTGCTCAGTACTCACCCGTTT